CACCCGCTCCACGCCCTCGCGTCGACGCCCCTCTTCGACCCCGCCCGCCTCACCCACGAGCCGGCCGTCCTCCGCGCCGACCTCCACCTCCTCCTGTCTGTGCACGCCGCCGTCAAGGCGGCCCTCGAGCGCGCGCGCCTCGCCAAAATGCTCGGCTCCAGCCTGCAGTCCGCCGTCGTCGTCTCCGTGCCCGCCGCGCCGTCTGCCGCCGTCCTGGCGCGTTACGCCGCCGACCTCGACGCCCTCTTTGTCGTGTCGTCTGTCGAGGTGCGGGTCGGCGCCGCGCCGCCCGAGGCGCCCCTTTGTACAAGAGTTCGAGGCCGACGCTGGCACCAAGGGCGTTGTCAGCGTGCTGCCGCCCACGGGGGTGCAAGTGCTCGCGGTGCTGGCGCTACGTCGCCGAGGCGGGAGGACAGTCTCTGCGGAAAGGTGCAAGGAGGCCGTCGAGGCGCTGGAGGCGCTGCAAGCCGTGGAGGGCCAAACGTGAGATGACTACGTGTAGGATTGAAGTAGCAGGGCCTGGGACGTTGCTAGAAACGTCTGGCGCCCTGTGGTGTATTTTTATGTAGATGATTGTACAATTAGATGGGCAGCCCTCTTTTCTGGATCACTGTTCTCAGCCGCCTGTGCTGGTTGTGTAGGAAGCTTGCATTTCGTTTGCTTTAGTGTCTTGTTCTTTTAGAAGCTGGGTGTCATTGCGAGTCTGAACGGCAATTTCTCTTGAGAATTGAGGCGGTTCTACATACCTGCCCTCGGCCCTTCACAGAGCATGACATGATCAATATGAACGCTGCCAGCCTGCGGATCTGGCACATACGACCATACCTATTGGAAAACTTGGGATCCCGTCCGCTCTCCCCTAAATAAGCCAATAAGGGCCGGATCAGTAGTTGGGTGGGTGACCACCAGCGAATACCTGGTGTTGTATGTTTTTTGTTTTTGCTCGCGAGGGGGCTGGGGGGTGACGAGTGTCTTGTGAGATTCTGATGGCGAGCCTTGTAAGAGTGTCTGAGCGTTGTTTGGAGCAGAGTGAAGAGGTCTTCCACGCGTAGTCCGCAGGGGGATGGAATGTAGGTAGGGGTTGGAACACATCTGAATTCTGGGCCCTCCGTAGTCTAGATATACGCTTCCCATAGCCTGAGCCCTTATCCGGCCCCCTGCTTGGCGGCTCCGCAGGGTTGTCTGACAAAGAGTTTCTATGAAGTAGTCGTTTCTTGGTGTTGTTGTGAGTGTATTTTGAAAATGTGGATTGAGCTGTCTTAATGAAAAGACGGATGTCTACGGTCTCCGCCATATATCTGATTGAGTACCTCGAGCTGGAAGATCATCCGTAGGTGATATCTGGAGTCAACTATGAGAGGGAATAAGAATATATCGAGATATCAGCCCTCACAGCTACGAGCCCTCGGCAGCCCTTGATGCGCATTCTCGTAGTCCCTAGCCCTTGTCCAGCCCTTGCTCCTTGGCTCCGCGGCCCCCCTTGACAGCTGTCCGTGTCAGTGCTTGAGCTGGGGCAGAGTGATGGGGTCTTCTACACAAGGTCCGCAGGCAGTAGAATATACGTAGGGGGTCAGAACATATCAAATTACAACCGTCGTAAACGAGAGGGCTCTCCATAGTCCTTATATCTACGTTCTTATCGCCCTTGGCCCCCCTAACCGATCCCCTGCTTGGTATCTCCGCAGGGCTACCGGACAGTCCGGCTGGTCTGGCATGGCTTGAGTTTATGAGATGGACTTTTTGTGCCGCACAGAAGATCATGGTGACTGTTTCAGAGCCTCCAGTACTGCAAGACACTGCTGCACGTCTAGACAAGCCGGTGGGGCGAGAACCCGGGCCAACAAGCCAAGAGCTGCTGGTCTTCCTATGACCATGTGTCAAAGGCAGAGGTGCACCAATCGTTTTCACGTGAATCTCAACTTGTCGCGATCAGATGGTGCCGGATGAGCACATGACGACTTGTGGACAGTAGGAGCTCAGGTTTTTTGCTGCGCCCCTACAAGCTTGTCAACGCGCTCCCGTAGGAGGTTTCCCGGCAAAGCGGCCATGCTTTACGCAATCCGGCTGCCCAAGTTCATGCTACGCAGCAGCTCCTGACAGGAGATGAAAATTCTGCCAATATATTTCCTCTCGGCTTTCGTCTGGTGTTGGCTCGTCTCATCGTCCGTAAGAAACGTCAGTGCCTTGAAAAGCGCAGGTCTTGCCCACGTCCTAGGTTTGATGCGAGAGCTGATTTGGACGAAGTGCCTCACTCCCTGATGCGAAAATCCTCTTCTCGATGAAATAGTGTTCATATGATAAATAACACAATGATAGGCGGGCATCGTAAGTGGTCAGCGGCCCGACGAGCCAGGTTTTCAGTCTGTCTCCTGGTGTTTATCGCATGCGTTCATGTGAACAATGGGCGAAGTCGAGACCACAAACGGGCTGAGGAATCGATGTTTCTGCAGCGGCTCAAAGCGTCACTGTCTGCAAGGCAGAAAAGGTCCGAGTGACAGGCTTGGCGATCTCGATACTTTCCTGTGATGGGCCGCTGAGACTTTTCCATCATGTATTGGGCATCCCAAGTCCTGTGGCGCTCGAAGGACTTTTCTTTTGCTTAGCTGTGCCATGTGGAAGCGCATGTAGATCCCGTGAGGTGGTGTGGCGCTCGATATTTGGCGAGCTGAATCAAGGTCACTCTCTCTTGTTCTGCACGGCCGCAAACTGTCGTCATGAGACCTCCTCTGGAGCAGCAAGATGCCTCAGCCGCACCCAAGCATGGCTTGTCTCTTCCATTTCCCTGCCCCAGTGCTAGCCTGCGTTTTACTCTGCAGCCCACCTTTTTTCGTTCGAGCCTCAGCTTTGCTTGCACCCGTACACTGCTCACCCGCCGTCATCAAGCACACATCGATCTCAGCGAAAGTGATCGTGGGCTGACTGGGTAAGACGTTCTTCGTCTATCGTGGCCAATCAGCCATTACCATCATGCTTTGTTTAAAAGTCTGTTCATACGTTGGTCGGTAACTCTACACAACGTAGCGAATCGACTGACGTCTTCGTGGGATCCATAGAGTCTAGGCTCTATTCCGAGTCCGAAGCTGTGTAAGGCTTTCAAGGAGGTGTGTTACACAGAAGCGACTGAGGTCACTCGTCGTTGTGGCAGTGCCCAAAACCACTCACTGCGTTTCCCATAAAGGCAAGTAAGTGTTGCCTGTGAAGTCCTGTGCTAGTGCAACCTCTGCGAAACTTTGTCTAACCCTTCCTCTTTGAAGTTTTTCTATATTCTGCTCCAAGTTTGTACCACTTTTTCTCACCCTACTATAGCGCATTATGTCAGTACCAGAAGGGCGCATCATCTCGCAACCGGCAATCTACGACTGTTTCAAAGACAGACCTGAGATCGAACCCAACAGTGACATCTCTGGCCTTGGTGTAAGTGCTACCGACTGCCAACCCAGCTGCGCCGGCTCGGCGCATGTTGCGGTGGTTGAAAAAAAGGGGCACGGGTTGATAACCGGCTGCGTCTCTAGATTCTTGCCGGATTCTTGGGAACAGCTTACTTGGCGGTTGTCATCATCACGGCACACTTTTTCCTAGCCTACGATCCGAATAAACGTCCCGACCATGGGATAGTTACTTCTGACCAAGACTGCGAGACGCAACAACTACAACCAAGCAGAGTGCAGAATTTACGTCGGTCGGTGACTTCATCGACGAATGCCATCAACAATCTGCACTCCGAAGGACCAATACAGCGCCGTAACGAAGACTACCCTCCCTCTTCCAGCCAGTTCGGAAGTCTAGCACTTCAAGAGGGTGTAACGACACCACGTGGGGGTCAAGATCTGCTCGACCACCAGACACAATGCATTTGTGAGGCTGAATGCGACAAAAAGTGGTCTCCCAATCCTATTGATCAGCTCATTTTCGGAAACGAATTCGGTCGGTGGCTCTTTCCGAAACGATCATCGTTACAGGATCCGGATCCATTCGCACGAGATATGCGAAAAGCCTTTGACCATGTGAGAGCAGCCCACAAACTCATTCCACCTTGCCGCAATCTGACAACCATTTGCACAGTACATCCTAGCCTTCTGCGACGGTCAATCAATTACCGGCCTTGCGATTCTATTAAGCGCCTTCGCGATGCTGGGAGGGCCTTCTGGCATATCTGCGTATCACTGGCAGATCGCTGTCCTCTTGGCATGGCTTGCCAACATCACGCACCTCGTTGGTCTTACGTTCTTGCAGGGTTACTTGCGTCAACGACCTTTGCATCGAAACGTCCGTCTGGTTCCTACAACAATATTGCTAATCCTCCTTCTCGTTGCGCTCTTCCCTACCGGATGGTTCAACTGGTCGTATTTGGACAGGCACTGGGGTGCCAATCCCGCAAGCCCTTCCTCCTACGCTCGCTGTTTCTTCAACGTCCAGACTGCTACTCAGAGAGCACTAGACTCAAGCGATATGCGTGTCGGCTTTCCGGAAGGCTCTGGCTCGTCAATGATCTTTAGTATGCTTTTTCTGAGCACGAGCTTTGGAATTCGCCTCATCAAGCTATCGCGTCGCGCTTCCAATTTCTTTCGAAATGTGGTTCGACGTAGTGCTCGTCGACGGCTGCGTCAGCTTGCACTGGATACCATGGCCCGTTTTGAGACAGCATCTCCCAGACTGAACTTTGTCCGCCAATACTTCTTCGTCAATTTCCTCATCGCCATACTCATGACGGCACGCATATATACGGATGTGGCAACGTCGACCTTCTCCGAGGTTCTGTTCGCCTGGGTAGCGGTTCTTTGGGTAACTATCCGCATTTTCGCGACTCGAGCCTCGGTGCATCTTGACGAAAATGACTTTACATTCGGTCAGATTGTTGCCGTCCTGCTGCTCATTGGACCTACCATCACCGCCGCTTTGACCGCCTGGCCTCTGTTGCCACGACGTCGTACGCCTCAGGACTGCCGGCGCACCCGTCTAGCCCCTTTTTCATGGCTGAAAGAAGGGATCGTTGCTTGGGCAACATCTTTCAGCACCCCCCAATACAGATTTGACGCAAACGAACCAATCAACCACGTCATGTGTCACCACAAGAAACCGCTCCAGTTGGCGAACAAGTCTATGAGCTACCAAGCTCCCTGGACCGACGTCATCGTGTTTATCGTCGTGGTGAACCTTGTCGGGTGCTCAATTGCTAGCATCAGGCATACTACTCTCTTCATGGAACACACCCCCAATGGTCTTGGTTTTGCCAAAGCTGTGGAATTTTTCTATTCAGCGTTGATCCTTGTTTTATGCGTGGTGCTACTAAATCTCTATGGAGTAGCTACAGTGTCGGGAGAAGACGTTACTGGCAGTGATCCAAATGGAGAGTCGAACTACATGCCAACTGTCTGGTTCAGTCGTCTTGGGCCGGAGTCGGCTCGTACTGCTTTTTTTACTGTTTCTTGTGTGTGTAATCTTCTCCTGCTCACTATAAGTGTCACCAGCAGCAGTGTTCGTCATGCCTTTCTTTTAAGCCTGACTGTTCCTGTTGGTCTACTGTTCATCTATGTAGGTTCTTGCTTCATGAGTTTGATAACGCCTTACTTCATGAGTTTGATAACACCTTAGACTATAGTATAGTTAGTACAGTTCAGTTTCAGCAGATGTGTTTTGCAATAGAGATTCACTTAGGATTTTCTATTTCCGTGAGCTCACTGGGACGATTACAGATCTTAAAGGAATCCCTAGACGATGAAATATGATGCCTTACACTAGGTACTGGCGTCCAAGGAAAGAAGCAGCCGCTAAACTTTGACCCGAAACGCGGAAATAGATTTGCTTTAATCTTGCACACTGAACTTAGCACCCTCATGCGAAACATTTTACTCACACCACCGTCAGGACAAGCGGGACGCTCCTCTTGCAAAGATTGTACTTGAATGTCCTATTTAGATGCCAGCTTGTCCGTGAAGAATTTCCTTTGGACCATAGGTTGACGCCAGCCCTCGCGTTATTTCTGGTCCCGCCCTATTTGGCTGCCCACACAACGGCCGCAGCAGCTTCCAGAAGGAAATCCAAGCATACTTGCAAAACTATGCAATAAATCGTGAGGTACTCTCTCAAGCATTGGTCAAGGTTTCCCAGCCGACGAAGAGCTTGTTCGTACCAGCTGGCCGCTGGTCCAGAGTCAATTCCTCTGTGTATGGCATGTCATATCCCAAACGGCCCGAGAGGGCGCGGAATGACACTTCCGTTACTAGAGATGTGATGTCAGATGTCTAGTCCTACTACGTCTATAGGGAGGACAGAAAAATTGCATACCTGGCCCAAAATAGAGAGATAGTGTCTTTCCAGGGCACAGCCAAGCGGGCTTCGGTTCTCCGAGGTGATATTTCGAATGAAACTCTAGAGCGTATCGCAATCTAGTACCGGTTTCCTCACTGAATAAATTGCGTCCTTGTATTCTCGATGTCTCAGCGACATGGCCGATAGAGGCAAGGCCGTATCCTGTGTGTTCAAAGTCTCTGCACGTCTCCTGGGACAGACCGCTGACGTTGAACACAGACTGGCCCTGCCAGTATGTCACGATCCCGGCCTGCGTACTCGTCGTCGTATCTCCAGGTGCTGTTTTTGGAAGATCGCCGTCGCTCTCCAGGTAGATGTAGGCCGGCACTCGGTTGAGGAACTTTGTCATGCCAGCATCATAAACAGTCTGGTCATCAAGGAATACACCAATGAAGATTGCGGCTTCCGCCATGACAAGATCCCAGTTACCCATGTAGTTTGGTGCGCCATTTTTGACGAGAGGCAAGTAGACATTACGCAACATGCCCTCAAACTTTGTAATGCTGGCAGCGCTCCAGCCGGCGTTTGAATATCTGATCAACTCTGCGGCGCGGGCCCAAGTTGAAGCGACCCAACCAGACTGCAATGGCGAGTTTGTGTTGTTGTGTGCTTTGATGGTGGATGCCCAAGAATCCATAAACGAGATGGCCTTGTTTGCGTATGTCTGCGTGCCTGTGACTGTCCATGCCAGGGCATTCAAGTACGTCACCATGGCGTCTTCTCTTTCATCCGAACAACCAACGTCAGGTGTAGAGTATGATCCGCACTCTACTGTTGAGACGGGCTCTGGGGCTGTCTTGGAGGCATAAGGGTGCGCCAGCATGGAAGTGTACGCTGGAGCCCACGGAGCAGCTGACTGTGATACCTTGGTCCTAATGAGCTCTGCTTGTGCTTCGTCGATGAGGATGCCTGGGTGGACAAAGTTCGCTCGAGGCTGGACGGAACCAGGGAGACCCATGGCCAAGTGCCAGAGGGCACATGAGGATAAAAGGATGTAGCGGTGAGGGAGCATCTTTACTATCGAGTTCTGCTGTTGGGTTTGTGGTGTGCCATGGCAGGTAGAGTGATGGGTTCCGCAAAGACTTTTATGAGCCCTTCCAGCTCTAGCATCTTGCTTTCAGGAGAACTTTCTCTGCTTCAGGGGCTACTGTAACTATTTGCCAAGCTTGCAAGGAGAGCTCTAATGTAACCTGAAACGTTTACGATTTGTTGCTCACTTTAGCTCTCTAGGGGTTATCTTGGGGGTCCGACTGATGCTGGGTGAAGCATTCGAGAGCAACCTTCTGTAAACAGATTTGGTCACCATGCTGCCGAGGTCTGACATAACTACGTTACATGACCCGTCATGGTAATAAATCAGAAGATCAGCACGCCAACTTGACCAGGGCTGGATGATGGTCTCGTGGCGCGCATGGAGCACGTATCGTGTGATTGTTATCTGCAGCTGTTCTCGAGTAACATGCTGTTTTGTGGCTTGGGATCGCCGTAACTGTGGCCGAGAGCAGCCTTATCATGCTCCCACTTACTCCGCACTTTGAACGCCTCAGTCCACCTTTTGGTGCGAAGTGACGCCTGGGCAGATATTTTGACATTGCGGGCCCGGCCGTTCGTCCGACTCCGAACACCGGCCGGAAGTACTCACCCACGACATGGTCGAATTGCCAGGAGCCCGATTATCGCACGGATGTTACATCAAGCTACGTATTGATGGAGAGATGTAACCTCGCTACGGCGATTCGATGCAACAATGCGAGGTTGGGTCGCCCTCTATCATGAGCAAGATTGGTTCGGATTTGTGTATACAAATAGTTGTAGGCATCGAAGCTGATGGCAATGATGAGTCCTTACCAGTCTCAGCAATCTCAGTCATCACAATTGCCACCCTCATCATGCTCGTTCCACAACGCAGTCAAAACAGCCAGGTCTCTCTGCGTCTCTGGCCAATCTTGTTGCTGGCTACACTGGCCTCTGGACGTCCATCCTCATACTATGTTGATTGCGGGGCATCCTCGCCGGGCAACGGCACTGTTGAAGGGCCTTGGAACTCTTTCGATGAACCCAATGAGTTCGTTTTCGCACCTGGCGACACTCTGGCTCTTAAGTCCAACGTAACTTGCAAGGGAAACCTGTCTCCGAAGGGGAGCGGCACTTCGAGCCAGCCCATACGACTGACATCGTACCCAATCGACTCGATCTTGGGTCCGCCAGTCATTCATGCAGACGGAGCCAACTCGTCACTGTTGCTCACGAACCAAGATCACTGGCGCATCACCAAGATTGCCTTCACCAACCCGGCGAGCAACGTTGCCAGGCGCCAAGGGATCACGATCCTCGCCAATGACGGGGGTGTTCATTACGGCATCACGATCGAGGACAACACGATCTATGACGTGCAGGACAGACACAGACTGCGAGCTCAGTTCTGACTTTGCCAACTCGGCCGGCATCCTCCTCAGCGCCGTCAATGGGAGCCGCTATGACGGCGTCGCCGTTCGAGACAACACGATCAAAGACTGCGGCGGCGGCGCCATGAAGATCCGGCCCGGCCAGATCGACAATCAGGGCAGCAATATCCGCGTGTCCTACAACAAGATGGACGCCTGCGGCGGCGACGGCATCGTCGTGCAGTACTCCGATGCGCCGAGCCTGGACCACAACGTGGCGTCGAACCTCGGCAAGGGCAAGTACCCCTGGAAGGGAGGCAACTTTGCCGGCATCTGGGTCATGGCCTCGCACAACCCCGTCATGCGGCACAACGTCGTGTACGGGAGCATCATGAGCCTCCACGACAGCACGGCGTTTGACTGCGACTGGGGCGTCACGGGCACATGCATCGTCGAGTACAACTACAGCCACGATAATGCCGGCGGCGCGTTCCTCGACTGCGACGGCTGTGGCGTCTCCGGGGGCGCGAGGCAGATTGTTCGCTACAACATTTTCGAAAACGACTGCCGCATGATCAGCGTGTCGGAAAACTCGACGCTCGAGTTTTATAACAATGTCATGTACTGCGCCGACAGGGACTTTGAGCTGCAACTGCCGCAGAACGCGACCAAGATGACGAACAACATCTTTGTCGGGCGTGAGAATTCAACCCTGCCCGTGGCCAGCAACATCGTATGGGAAAACAACCTCTTTCACGGCCTGATGCCACCCACCGAAGACGGGCACCTCGGCGACCCGCTCTTCGCAAGCCCGCGCACTCGCGGAAGCACGCTGGGGGCAGGGTTTGGGTACAAGTTGCGGGCAGGCTCTCCAGCCATAGGAAGCGGCATTACGATCAAGGACAATGGGGGTAAGGATTATTTTGGTAGGAGGCTGGGTGGTGCTACGAAGCCCAACATTGGACCCTATAGTGACAAAGGCATCAATTGAAGTAACCACTTTGGATTCAGGACACAAATCAAGGACTATTGGCAGGTCTGTACAAGGAATAGATAAACAGCAACTTCATCTGCAGTTCTTGGAGTACGAATTAAGCACGCAGTTAGCTGCTCTTCGCGTGATAGATATTTGCCTGTGGAAGAGAGAAAAGATGTGGAATTGATGGCGTGTCATGTCGGTCACCAGATCGTAGAAGCTGGAAACAGGTCATCATTTATGGTTATGATAGAGGTGAGCCGATAGCGACTGGAACCTTTCAACTAAACCGGGGTTGGAAGATGGTCGAAAAGAGGCAGAAGGTGGTGGACCTCCCTCCTAACGAGAGCACATCGAAAGATAGTCTATGCAGAGGTATTAGTTCCTCCGTCCATTGGGTATCGACCTGAGCTGACTATTGGACCCGGTGCTATGTCTTATTTTATATATACTATTAATCTAGTGGTATAAATTTTGGTTCGCTATTAACATTTTCTGTTGCTCTACCGTCGATCCTCTGATGATAGTGAGTTCGGTAGTTTGGCGGTTGCTGGCTGTACAGTGCCCGTTATGAGCGAGATGGTGGTCCTAAGCGGGGTAAGATTGCTTACTCGAACCTGCAATCGACGTGAGTAACTGGCCCACCAAGATCCGGAGGTACCCAAATTCGTACGTGTCTTGTACGGTGATCAAGCCGATTCCTCCCCGATATAAGCCACCTTACAATGGAGTGCTTTTGTCATAAGCTCTCAACCCATCAATTTCACGACATCACTGAGTCCGAGGTGAGGCGGCGACTATAATCCTCGTGAGACGGGGTTCTCTAACAATTCTACTTCAAGACTGTGAATCTGATAACCTGGGCTGGCTGGGCTCAACATACAACATGGCAGCGGTAGCAGGCTTCCGAGGTGACCAGAATATTGAAGCCCAGCAACTCATTCGGCGAATCTTTTGCTACGGCTTTGCGATGTTGCATTAGAAACACTTGTCTATCAACCCGGATCGTGCAGGAAATTAAAGATGCGCTGCCGCATATTCAGAACACGATTCGGGACAAGGTCTATCATATTACCCGTATCGGGGAGAACTGGAAGGAAATTATCGGGGATTCCGCGTCTTCCACGAACGTGGCCCGCAGCACCTCAGAGGACTGCTTTGCCTCTTTTCGTCAGCGTCCACGTGAGTTTGGCCGGCACTCTGGCCAGCTTCCTTACTCATCAGCCTCCAGCTGGGAGAGAGCAAAAATCGAGGACCGTCAATCTGGCCTCGCAATTCTCTCTACGACCACAGACATCCGCCAACGGACTCTGCAATGCACATCTGCCATCCAGAAAGCCCTAGACTAGATGTTATGTACAGCCTCCCGAGTCTAGTCTTATTTTCTGCACTAACGAGTCTCAGTGGAACACTCTTTCGTCGAGGAGACGCGCGGGATCACGTCACGTTCGCAATCTCTCCTGGGCACAACGGCGATGCCTCGACCCAACCGCAGCAGCCTACCTTCTAGGGCGGTGCCCGTGAGAAGAGATTCGAATGCCCCATCAGGAGCTCAATCAGCTTGTAATTCTTCCCTAGCGGCTGTATCTGAAGCCGTTGGGTTGGGCGGTACGTCTTCGGAGGACGCTAAGATCTTGCTGCTCCTTCTTTCTTTCCTCTCGACATCCGATAAGATCCCCTTGGATTTCTTCTGTGGAGCTATGACACGCAAACGCTGGACCACACAAGGCGAGATTAAAGAGGTGGATGCAATCCACGTTGGTCTTGCTCCGGAACTTCGCAATTTGCTCTCGGACAACCCAAGATTGCGCAACGCCTTTCACCAGCTCGACTTGTTGTCGACCGTTTCCAAGGACCACGACCAGACCTACACCTTGGACAAAGCTGTCGCGAGTCGTGTTCGTGAGAATTTAAGTGCAAGAGACTCGTCATTTTGGAGGTTCCAGGCCGTCATTGTTGCGTATCGAGCAATCCCATGAAGTACATCCAGTCTGCGTAAGTCAAAACCAACGAAGAGGTCATCCATCCATCTAACACGGTCACAGCACTCCGAACACGAAGTTGTTCCTACCGCACTTCAAGCATGCCCTAGAGGCATTCCAAGATTGCTATGATTCCCTACCTGCCAGCACCAGAGTCGACCTTGGGCTCACCCTTGTTGAAGCATCTCGGTTTCCAAATATGGCATGGAAACGCTTTGTTGTTGGTCAAGCAGAAATTGCTTCGCGTGGTCTGGATGACTGGTACTTATCTTGTTGCATTGCACAATCACAAAGCCTCCTAAGCCGGATGGCCGGAAACATGGACCATGCCGCCAGCAGCATTAGCGATTTCGTCCAAGGCCGGGCTGGGAGTGCTATGGATAAGAGAATGTTTTCAGCAATCGGCCAGGCGACCATCCAGCGCTCTTTGAACTGCATTCAGGTGGAAGACCTTTCTACCGCTAAGAGATGGTTGAAAGGCTGGAGTCCTCTGGAACAGACCCCGTCCGTACTTGAGAAAGTGGTATTATTTCGCAAGCACATGATACTTGGAAGGCTCCTACGGTTCCGAGGTGCGTTTAGAGAATCACTGACGTGTTTGAAGAACGCGCAGACAACCATAGGGCAGTGCAAAGACCTCATCTTCGATGAAGACCTCCGTGATCTCACCTGCGATCAGGCCGATACGCTCCGAGAACTTGGCGACCTTACGTCTGCCGAATATCTTCTTCGTGCCGAAATCACGCGCCGAGACCAAAGCTCCATGTCGTCAGGCCATTCCCTTCTTGAGCTATCCCTAGCGGAAGCCTTGTTTGCTCAAGGATGCTTTCAAGAGGCAGATAAGCTTTGCTTGGATGTCCAGTCCCGCCCTGGCCTCCTGAGGCTTGAGAAACTGCGTTTGCATATCACGATGGCAAAGATACGTCATATGAAGTCCGATAACGAAGGTGCATTATGCTGTTGGAGCGGAGCGTTGAAGGAAATTAGGAAGTTCCAGTTGACCAACGGCCGAACAACGCGAATAATCACCATGTCCATTTGCGACACGCTGGCTAGTCTTGGCGAGACCTGGTTGGTGGACGAATCTATGAAGCAGGTGGCATCTGTGGATGGAAGCGCAAAGCCTGGAGGTGTCGAGTGGTGGTTTGCAGGCATGCGCCACTGGGTAGAATATTTGCAGTCTCGGAGTTTTCGTAGTCGCATGTAGTCCGATATACCAAACAGGATTCATCACGCCAAAATACGGGCCACCGTCTTATCGGACTAATCTGTTGACACACCTGGCTCGCACTTCTGCTTTCGCTGAGAGCGACGGGTCGCCCCTGCTCCGCGCCTCGGCCTTCCACACGCTTGCGCGTCAGATCGCTGCGTGATCGATAACGAACGGGAGAGGCCGACGACTCACCCATCCGCCTTCTACTCGCTGTACTTCAGCTTGCCAGTTCCGTCGAGAAGAGCGCCGCCGTAGCCATGCGCGGGCGCGCAGACCTTGTGATGCCGCCGCCGCTCTGGGCGTCAAGCTAGCTTTGACCACAGTGCCGTAAGCTTGCGAGCGCGGCAAAACGACATCAAGAATATGGAGAGTTGCCAGGAACCGGGCCCGTTGCCCAATCCGTCCTCACCCCTCTCCTTGCGGCGGTGCCTAAGTCCTATTCGATGGTGATAGTCGCGTAAAATTGACAGGATTTGGGGAGCATGGTGCATTGGAGTATTCGGCATTGGATCCTGCTCGTGATCTTTGCTTCAGCATACCAAAAGTAGGACACTGGATTTTACATTTGTCGAAAGGCATGATGAAGGGAACCATTTCTTTTCAATTTTTTTTCTCAATTTCTTTTTTTTTTTTTTTTTTTTAGCATGCAACACCATGTGGCAGACCATTCACCGCTCAGATAAACAGAACTCACTTCATCAAATGCCCTTCTGCCGTGGACATACCAAGCCGGACAACACGAGGTGGGTTGTAACAGCTCACTATATGCTGCAATAATGAAAGGTTTGTCACATACGACCATACCTGTTGGAAAACTTGGGATCACGTCCGCTCTCCCCTAAATAAGCCAACAAGGGCCGGATCAGTAGTTGGGTGGGTGACCACCAGCGAATACCTGGTGTTGTATGTTTTGGGCATCATCCTTTTGCTTTCTTGGATCATCGATGAAGGTAGAGGTGGTGGGGGACGAGCAGAGTGGTCTCACATGCCTCTTCACGTTCTTCACGTTCTCGGTTTTGAAGCAAATGGAGAAGAAACGGGAGAAAAGCAGAAAGTAGGAAGGCAGATTGTCTGTTCATTGTCCTCAAAAGGCTATCTATCCATAACTTCCGACCAAAGCCAACGCTCTAAAATAATCACGGAACCCACCAACTCCAGGCCCTCCTTCGAGAGCCAAATGTTTCCCTGGCATGAATGTCTCCCGCAATGAACCCCTGGCCCGTCCGTTTGGCCCCTTGCTGGGGATGATGCCAAGATACAAAGAGGCCCGAACCCAATCCCTAAATCATAACCTAACGCCCTGCAAAAAAAAAATCAAATGATCAAGATCCTGGCGAGATAGAATCAAAAAGAGAACGGCAGCACTCTCAGCTTGCAAACGAAACTGGTAGCCTCTACCAAGAGAAAGTTGGTCGAGGTTTGTACTGCTGCTGTGAGAAAGGGGTATAGTGGCGAAGCGAAAGATATGGCCGTGTATGTTGTCTGTTGTTTTTTCTAGCGCCAGAGAAGAAAGACTTTTTGCCATCATTTTCGATGACCATGTCCTGTGCATCGCAGTTTGATAGCCCATACGTTCATAGGGGAAACTGCGTCTGCGTTGTGTCCGGAGGCTCATCCTTCAGGTAAAGAAGCTACTGACGCTTCGACTTGAGCAGCAGCGACTTGAACCACAAGGTAAAAGTTGTCCACGCGCTTTGAGTCTTGCGTTTAGCAGTACGGCCACGCGGTGGCGTCTCAAATGCCACACCCTGTGCCGCGACGCTTGCGTAGCCACGGGTCGCGAACGTCGGCACGCTCTTCTCCGACATGGCATGCTGGCTTGTGACAGGGGACAAGCTCGCGCCATGAGAAGCGGCGGCAGTCTTCTTCCTCGTGCGCCGACCTTCCTCCGAAGACCGAGCTCTGCGCGGGAGCTCCTTGAACTCGCCGAAGCCAGCACCGGCATAGGTGGATTCAACAGCAGTGTCACTGCGGATGAAGGTATGGTCGTCAAGTCCGTCGTCGAGAGCGGCGGCACGAGCCTTGATGAGGGCCTCGGCAGCGGCCTCTACCTGCTGATCCCGAGCGTCTGACTCGGTACGGTGATGGTCGCCGCGCGCGCGTCGTTTTTGCTCCTTCTCATCACGTTTCTGCTGCTTCGCACGCTCCTTGTCTTGCCATTTTTGACGCTCGATACGAATACGCTCCTGATGATAATCCGAGCCAAGCTCAGAGCGAGAGCGCAGGCGAAAGCCCTCGAGCGAAGTACGTAGACCCATGGCAGAGGCCGACGTGGAGAGTGAGATGGGAGAGGTCGCTGTGAAAGAGTGCGGAGAGAAGGCGGGCGTGCTGCTAGAAGGTGGCGAAGTAGCTAGGGACAATGCGCCGGGCGAGTCGTACGACTCGGAGAAAGGTTGAGATCAGAGTGCTCGAGACATTGGCCAGGCGGGAACCTCCCGATACCGAGGTGGAGCGATTCGAGGTGTTGATGCGCAGGGGGTTCTGGTTGACGTCGGAGAGGGAGGATGTGCGCTGACTGGCGAGCGAGGGGCGCCTGGGGCTACTGTTGCTCGTGTTGCCGGCTGTGTTGGTATTGGCGGCGTAGTTGTGGAGGTTATTTTGCGAGAGCGAGCGCGACTGAGGTTGGAGGCCATTGGCAGGGTGGTTATAACTGTAGCTGGGATCGAAGTCCAGGTCCTCATCCTCCGTGATCGTCGGTGAGTAGTCGCGAGAGTTGTTATTGCCCTGCTGTGTGGGCTGATCCAGGCTGGCGAGAGAGTTGGCGTAAGAGAGGGGCGGTGTTGAGGTCCGCGGGGTCTGCTGAAAGGGGTGAACAAAACTGCCGCTGCGATACCCTCCAGGCCCGCTGCCGCTACTCGTGGCGATGCTTGCGTGTGAGGCACCGCTCGTGGACCGGGCATGCGAGTACTTGGATCGTGCATTCGCGCTGCTGGTGTTGGCGTAGCTGCTATTGTCGAGCTCGGTAGTTGATGTGGTGAAGCTCACATCGCGCTCACGGCCGGCTCCCCCGCCCCAACCGTGGCTGCCATAGTGTATTTGCTCCTCCCAGGTGCGGTCAATGTCGAGAGAGCTCTTCGCCGACTGAGAGCCCACCTTCTTGAGGATGGGTTTGACGACAGCCTTGCTACGTGACTTGGTCAACTTGGCAGGTGCGGTGCCAGCCAAGTCGGCATACGACTCGGCCACGGCCATGCCCTTCATGTTGGTGTGCCTGTTCTCTGAATGATGTGCGTAGGTTGTCGCTGTGCCGGTGGCAGTGGGTTGAGTATGGGTGGACGGGTGACGTCCAGGTGATTGACGCGGGCGAGAGCTATGACTTGGCGCAGGGCACTGGCGTCTGGCCTTTCGAATACATTGGAGATCGTCGTGGCAGAGAGTTGTGTTGCGAATTGTAGACTGGGTTTTTGGTGTTTCGGGTCTGGGTCCGGCGGCGTTGTTTGGTGTTTTGACGTTTTGCCGTCAGTGGGAGGGGGTGGTAGCGCGAGACGCAGTATGGGGTGAAATCTGGGGTCGATCGATCGAACGATGTAGTGTGTGCCGGACCGTCGTGTGCGTATGCGTGTGCGTTTGCGTACCGACAGCAGTTGCTGCTGTTGTTGTCGGTGTTGAAAGGCTGTCTGCTGCCTGGTCGAGGACAAGGACAAGAGACCTGGTGGTTGCAGAGCAGAGAATCAGAGTAGGAGGGGAGGTAGGAAGGAAAGGAAGAGGCGGAAGAGAGATGGAGGTTGCGCCGTCGGGGAGGATGGCATGCACCTCACCAGCCAACCGAGCGAGCGAGCGAGCAAGCAAGCGGAGAGACCAGGCGGGCTGAGATGGGGTGACTGGGCACTAGGTACTACCTAGGTACTAGGTGCGAGGTACTAGGCGCCAGGGACTAGGGGGGAGGGGGAAGGAGGTGGGGAGCAGCGCAGAGAGCAAGAGTCAAGAAGGGAGATGGAGGATACGACGACACCCACCTACCGCAATGTCGGGTAGTGCGGGCGCGGCGGTGCTGCGGGACCTTCTCCGCTGAGCGCTGGGAAGAAGGTGCCAAGAAGGTGCCTCGCCCGTGTGCTTGCTTCCTGCTTGCGAGCTTTGGGCTGTGTGCTGCAAGCAGACTCTGGTCCCTCTTTCCCCCCTGGATGGCTGCTCTTTCCCTCTCGATCTCGTTTTGCCTGACAACGTCTTCCCTGACAACGCAGCGCAGGCCGGCCTCAGGGTCGCCGAGGATCAGTTGGCTTGGCAAGAGGAAAGCAGCGAAGGATGGCAGGAGCGACACGACAGGGCGGGCACGACGCAGGCAGGCAGGCAGGCACACTGACAGGGCCGTCGCAGAAGCAGATCAGTGCTTCCGGGGGTGGAGCGGTGGCACGTGGGGGGGAGATTGCTGGGGAGATCG